TAGAACCAAAGTACTATTTTGTGTCCTTTAAATGATATCTAAAATTGTTTGTTTCGCCTTTTATTAAAACAATTGCTATGCGTATAAGCATAAATACCACATACTTGCGCGACACCTTTTAGTTTTACTGAAGTTTGCGCAGACTATGAAATGTTTTTACAGGTGGAAAATGTTCTATGATAGATATCATTTTGTCAGACACTTTTCTTTTTTTATTTGGTTCTTATAATATGCCAAAAATCTGTATATTTAACCGAGTTGAACATTTAAATAGTGCGTTTTACTCTTAACAGACGTATAACCGACCCGATTAACAGACCAACCGCCCATATAGCCGCATACTCAATATAGATTAACCGACCAATCTCTCGGTTAGCCGAGTGTCGGCCGTGTATGTGTCAGATTAAATTTTTCATTCCAAGCATTGTTTCGGTAGGCGAGGATTAAGAATTTTTAAACGTTATCATCCATATTCCTTTTGTTTATTTCGTAATCATGTTTATTATTATTTTATTGCCCAAAATTTTAGGGAAATGTTTGAAATAAAAATTTGAAAAACAGCAAAACGAGGGAAGAAATTCTAAAATGAATTTCTGTTGTCTACATGTGAGGTGAATCAATTATAATCAATGACTTAAAATTGAAAATATTATAATTTTATTTTCATTTTCTATGATGAAATACACATTGTATTTGGCATACATGATGATGAAATATCTTTCAAAATTCGTTGATTGATAGATTGTTGTTTGCTCAACTTCAGCGGCAGGTGTTTTGTGCAATATTAAGGACAACTGAGATCTAATGAACATTAAATATGTTGATCAGTAACTCCTACAAAGTAAAAGATCTGAGATGAATAGCTGAAAATTGAGATTGCCACTGGGAAAGGATGATATGTTGGATAGGAAGAGAAATCATTGGGTCACCTTCTTATTTAGCATCCCAATTTCGAATAAAAAATATATTTTTAGATTATTGCTTCCATGATGAAACAGGTATAAAATGTATTCAAATATCAAATCGTAATTCAAGTATATCGTGTTACAATTTTGTGTACCGTCTTTACAACAAAAAAAAACAAAAAAAACAAAAAAAACTTAAAGAAATCAATCGCGGCTTTTGAGCCCAACAAATATTTTCCAGTTCTCTTAAATAAAGCGTGTATTGTGAATATTAATATTTCGCATAATAAAAAATAACTGTTTCCTTTTCTGTGATTATTGATAAGGAATGCGATTATTCTTTAAGATATTATGATTAAAAGAAAAATGAAAAAAGTTTTTATAAGTGTCTTCTTCAGTCGATTCAATCAGTTTATGTAAAAGATTTGAACTGATTTTGTCATTAAAGACGCCTTAATTCAAGCTTAAATATGAAAAATCTATCAAATATGCCACAAAACGGCACTTTTCAGATGGTTTTTGTCTAAAATGGAAGTGGCCGCATTCGTGTTCAGTCTCAACCTTTATATATGTTATGTATCATCATCAAATACAACACATATTTAAATATTAAGACTGAACACAAGTGCGGACACTTCCATTTTAGACAAAAACCGCCTAAAAATAAGCACAAATGCTGAAATTGTGACGATTTCAGTAATTTTGCATGAATTAATGATGCTAGTACCTGATGCATGTGCATTGTATTGTCAAAAACAGCCCATATTTATGTAACATAAGTATTCTTCTTTCCAATAAATAGCTTACAGTTTACATCTTTAACAATTTTTTGAAATGCTATATTTTGGGGCCAAAAAGGGGTCTTACCGGGCCTACTCCTCTAACAAAGACTAATAGGGGAAAATCAATGGTGATATTACACCTAAAGGAAAATTTTCGAGCAGTAGATTTGTAATTTTTCCTTAGCGTATTTTCATGCTTGAAACTCATTATTTACAATGTTCATTTCAAATTGACTAAAGAGTTGACCGGGTAAACTTTTTTTTTATAATTTTTCGTTCATTTTTAAAGACCATTTTACTTCCCGTTTGTCCGTGCACAAGGTCCCATCCCCATTTCGATTCGCATTCAATTTTCTTTTCCTTTTCTCTTGCTAACCCTTCTGATGTAATTCCGCAAATTTCATGTCACGCAGCAATTTAAAACTCTTGTTTAATATTTTTATTAAAAATTATTTTCTTTAATCCCCTTTATTTTTCACACTCGGTACTAGCACATTCCACTTCTATTTATAGACCATATTGCGGACGTGAATAAAATCAGTATTTTAGAGTACTTTGTTAACATCTACAATGTAAAGAAGCCGAACCTTCACTGTTTTAAAGTAGAAGCGAGGCCAAAAAAAACTACAAAATGACATGCCTGGTGGTCACTGAAATCATTGTATAAGAGTAAAAAAATGGCTTCATAATTATGTAGAATAGGTTACCCGGTTTTCCGTCTTTGGATACGTATTGGTAAACGTCAAGTTATTCAAATTCGAGTTTTTTGGCGAACAAAAAAGATGGCTGCTTATTTTAAGAACGGACAGGATGAAGTTATAGCAAATAAAAGTCATTTTCGACAATGTTTCTATGTCGTATTCACAAAACCTACAAACTTTAAAAATCAATTATAATAAAAGCATGACAAGTTAAAAAAAATAGATTTCTTAGCCGGTTGATTACGCGGACATTTAGTCGTCGCCGACGTTTGTAGCGCCACCTAATTAAGTCCCCTGTTATTGTTGCTGATAGAGCTTGACGAAAACGGACGTCTCCTAGGACTTGCTCTCCAAGTTTTTTTTAAGGAGTTAATCACGAAACAACGTTGATGACGTCACGGTCACGTGACAAAATTATGTCTATGAACTGATAGACAAAAAACTTTCAGCCAATCAAAAGACGTGTTTACTGTTACATCCAAAATTAAATTATTCTCTAAAATTGACAATATTTTTTTCCCCTTTACCTATTGTAATGCTTCAAGTCGTTTTTCTAGTTGCTTAATGTGATTTTTATCAAATTAGCAATTTAGTGTTTTACTTACATCAATTGTCAGAAATTTCATTTTAAATCCCATCATTCTTGTAATTCATTAAATTTGTCGTTACTTTTTTCCCACCCTTCCTAAAAGATTGTAAAAGCATTTGAAAACTGTTCAGATTTAATTGTGTTTAAATTCACAATCCACATACCCGGTCCTCTTTCGATATCATCTGGCTTAATATTTGATGTAACGATTTCGTGATTACTAAACGGGAAATGGTATATACGAGTGTTAAATATTTTACTATTCAAAGTTTTGTTGCAGAAAATAAAATCAATACGTGACTTCAAAGTTTGGTATCTGGAAAGTGAGATCTGCATACATTATCCAATTCATATCTCAATAAAAGATATTTTAATTCTGTTGTGCCGACTTCATTATTTTGATGTGATGGTTACATATCTATTTTTTTTTTCTTTTATCTAAAGTACAATTGAAGTCTCCTAATAAGACAGTGTAGTATTCAACACTGCATAATCATCGTCATACATCTTACTTGAATTATGCATATTTTCGTAAAAAGTCTTTCTATCGGAACCGTTATTTGGTATATATACATTATGGCGCGGGACGTTTGCGCTTTTTCATAGGACATTTGCGCTTTTTTTAATGGACATTTGCGCTTCAATTCATAGGACATTTGCGCTTTTTAAATATGGACAGTTGCGCTTTTTGTATAGGACATTTGCACTTTTACAATATTTTCTTTATGGTTAAAAGTTTAATAGTCATTTCATAGCACATTCGTGTTTAAAAGTAATTTCATTGCACATTGATATACTAGTAGTTATATATAGGCTAAAAGTAAACATTATAAAGACATCAAAGACACGCATTATAAGTTATCGCAGTACCCTCAGTTTTCGCTTGATATCTGAAACCCAAAGGAATGAACAATTTTGCTCTTGTAATCTGTCCTGTCTGGTAGACACGCCCGGATGTACTGGCAAGGACAGTCATGCTTTTTTTTGCTTCTGCAAAAACTCCAATTTTTAAGATTTAGGCCAGCATATAAACTTATCAAATGGACTGGAGTCACAGATTTTAACTGACACTAGATGCAAATGATAGTTAAGATCAGTTAAAGGTCTATAGTTTAATGGGCCAAAAGGCCCAGGTGGGACAACTCATGGTTTGTCTTCACCATAGGTCCAAAGTTAATAGGTTTAAAGAGTCTTAAATGCCTACCCCTCACTCCACCCCCATCTTTCAAAGTCTGTCAAAAATTCCCAACGTCAATAATGAGACGTTCTATTTATAACCCGTACAATGAGCAACACAATTGGACAATTCGGTTATCCCGTAGTTATCATTATACCTCGATGAGGCATGCACATGTATACCTTTGTTTTCACTTTTGAAAAGGCAATTAAAATATATAATTCCTCATTTAACATACATGTAGATCTTCTTCTTAATTTAACAATTGCATAGTTTGATATATTTTAAAAACAATTCTGTTGAGTTTGAACCTTATGCATCTTTTGTTTTTTTAGATTTATCTTTAAAGTGGCTGCTAGCTTGAGCCTGGTCACACACTATAGAAGGTGTGTCGCGTAAAAGAAAAGCATATGTTCAAAAATCGTGTCCGCTCTTTAACTTTTTAAACCCGCCTTGAAGTTGGTAAATGAATTTTTACATGCTAATTAATTTACCACTACTGACAGTCTGCTCCAAGAAAGAAAACTGTATACAGCGAAAATCTTGGTTTTAAACTTAGTTCAGCTTAGTCTCCCCTGTGCCTAAATTGTACAAAAACCATCGTTTCCGCTCTTTTCCTTTGATACCCCTTGGGGTTTGGTAAAGTAAACTTTGCATGGTTATTCGCCTCTACTAAAATGTGTGTCGAATACAAGAAAAAAAAAACTGTACAATGAAAGTCCAGGTCATAAACTTGAATAACCTTGGATTAATTTTGATAAAAATTATATCACAATTTACTTAATTATCATACCTCTCTGTGATGACTCCCATTCTATTCATCTAGTTTGTTGGTTTTTTTTTCAGATTTCCTACACTGAAAGAAGATCGTCCTTACATTGCTAGTCAGAATGAATACTCTTCCGATGATCTTTGTTTTAATGGTCACGTATCTACCCTTAATAGCATGCCTCAAGGATAAAACCAAGACAGAGTTATGTGTTCTGGACATTTTAGATGATTTTAACAAAATGAAAAAGAGCATAGCAAAACCTAAAGGTTTGTTGAATATATTGTTTGTAAATTAATCTTTATAAGTGCTATTGATTTTTTTGTGTGTTGGTACATACTATGAATGGCATTAAACAACGTGTTAATGATGGTCTGTAATTTGTCCGGCGGACTGGACAATGTAGCGCATTGATAGGACATTTAAGCGGAAAAACGGCATTTTTCGCGCCAAAGTATATAACTCATTTTAGCGAAAAGAGTAATTATTAATGTTCATTTCAGCGACAGAAATCAATAAGTAACAGAATAATAAATTTTAATAAAACCAAGACAGCACAATATAAAATATAGCATGTCCATTAAAATACAGCACTTAAACTATAAAGTCTAAAAGGTTATCTCAAAATTCCGTTCTATCCTTGAATTTATATCCTAGAGAATGTAAGTAATTGGACTCATGATATACCTCCTATACAATACTGTTTATGAAATTGCAATAGGAACTGTGTCTTCTCTTTATCTCGTCTAGATTGAGGTGCACATACATCTTTACTTCTTATTTTGATATATGTTGTTTGCAATTTGATGATAGTATCCTGATAAACGTAAATGGCTGGGTGACAGCTAAAATGCTCATTATAATGGTAATGGAACGACTCTGGACCACCATTTGTTCGCTTTGATTTACCTGAAACTTCTGCCCAAAGCTTAATTGTGTGGAAACATACAATCTTCAGTTACATAGCATTTGGTCAGATAATCTGCGAATTCTGGCTCAACGGACACGAACTCTTCTACAAAACAATCAGATACATGTATCTTGATCATCTAGAAATGCTATGCCGAATAAAACAACTTTCACATTAAGCGAGCAATCAGGGGCGTAGCTACCCGGAGGCACGACAGCACGTGCATCCACGTCCCCCCCCCTCCCTTTCCAAAAAGAGAGAGAGAGGGACAAAGTTAACATATAAGAATTGGTCTTTGTATGCATTTTAAAAACTACACAAAGAAGAAAAGCAAGAGGAAAACACATGCAGCCAAATTTTAAATTCTGTAAGACATGTATGTGTACGATAAATACATGTATACAACTGGTGTAAACTTAGCGGAACTTTTTATATTACGGGCATTGTTTCTCGTTTCTCGTTTTTTATATAGATTAGACCGTTGGTTTTCCCGTTTGAATGGTTTTACACTAGTAATTTTGGGGCCCTTTATGGCTTGCCGTTCGGTGTGAGCCAAGGCTCCGGTTTGAAGACCGTACTTGGACCTATAATGGTTTACTTTTATAAATTTTGACTTGGATGGAGAGTTGTCTCATTGGCACTCATACCACATCTTCACTGTTATCATCTAGATATTTCCATACAACTGGTCGAATGCATATTTATTTGTTTATCAGCTGGATAATTAACAAGCGCAGATCATAAAAAAGATCATGAAAAAAAATCAAGATCAAAGTACCATTCACTCTGAAAAAGTTCATTAATTTCAACCTCGAGAATTCCTAACTGCGTAAAATTAGAAATTCCTATCTCTCTCTAGCTTGTAGAGTTTACCCACAAATTTGTTCAACATCTAAATGCATATGTTAAGCAAAATATTAATGAATGTATCCACCAAGTATTTGGTATCCAATGATGTTTATGCTAACAGAAACTCCACATATAGTATTGTGTTTATGTTTATTATTTGTTTTTTATATATCTACTTTGCTCAATACAAATACTAGCATATAGAACAAATCTCCGTGATTTGAAAAGCTCTAACGGCCTACAAAAATACGCAAACGACAATGTTTATTCTTCATTCGACTCGAAGTTAAACAAATAGTTGACCAAAAAACCACAACAAAAATGTACAAGTTTAATTACGGTTATGATTGTTTTGAAACGCTATATATGCGGAGCTTCCGGGAGCTTCGCCCCCTGGCCCCCAACCTTTGGCGGCTCCCAGACCCCTCGCCCTTTAGTTTGTGATTCCGCTTTACTAAGAAGGTAGCTACGCCCCTACCATGGTTTTAGTATGGTGAGTATTATTCAACTAGGTAAGTTTTTGCTAAAAATTGGCTATCAATAATACAGGTAAACGGATTAATTCTGCATGCGCAAAATTGGCTATAATGTCTGCAAAAATGTTCCCTAGTAGTTCAAAAGTTTTTCGCTAAAATGTCCTGCGCTCAATTTGTCTACCTTTTAAGTTTTGTATTGTGTAATCAAAACTGATACCTGGCCTTCCGGTCATAAAACTTTACTCAGTTCTCGGAGTGCACAATTCGGTCATAAAACTTTACTCAGTACTTGGAGTGCACAATTAGTGCTAGAAACAACAAATCAACTAATTTGATTGGTTGATTTTTTTTACTCCAATTACGATAATCATACTCAAATTTTTTTACTGTATGTCTGAATGTCACGCATTTTGATATTTGAAGACCCAGAGTCTTCAGATGGGTTTTGTAGAGGATTTTGATATTAAAATGATTCTAAAATCAATTTCTGATTCGGTATGTCGTCAAATGGTCTTCAACATTTTCAACCGTTTGTCTTTGTACATCGATATTATATTTGATATATCATTAGTTTGAAATGTTCTCATAAAATTGAGAATGGAAATGGGGAATGTGTCAAAGAGACAACAACCCGACCAAAGAGCAGAAAACAACCGAAGGCCACCAATGGGTCTTCAACACAGCGAGATAATCCCGCACCTGGAGACGGGCTTCAGCTGGCCCCTAAACAAAAATGTGTACTAGTTCAGTGAAAATGGACGTCATACAAAACTCTAAAACATATAAATGAACTAAAATTAAAAGTCATACAAGACTAACAAAGGCCCGAGGCTCCTGACTTGGGACAGGCGCAAAAATGCTTTACCATCGATTTTGTATAAAATAATTGCCACTAGGCGTTCAGCATCCAACAGTCAACCCATCAGTTTCATTATAGCACAATTTAATATAAATAGATAAATAATGCACATTTTTTGAGATGTTTATACTTATTTTTGGAATTTTAAATCAATGGTTCTATACTCAAAATTTTAACAAGGAACAAAAAATAAAAAAGTACAATATTTTGCTTTCAGAAACTGAAATCTATTTAAAAAAAACCCTGGCAAGTCAATTTCAAATTCTCAGTTCCGTGTTAAGTAGGTTTCGTGGGACCTTCCGCCAAGTTAAATATCTATATCATTGATTTGTGTCAAATAAGCTTACTCAGAAGTTAATCAGAACAAGGTTAATATACATCATAATAATTTATTTATTTATTTTCGTTGATTTTGAATGAGTATGATTTCGTCAAAAAACCATTCATATAATCCTTGAGATTTGGTCGTACTTGAATAACAAGATTCACTGATTTGACATAGAATAATATTTTTTTTAAATATTTTCTGTTTGTTTGTATGCGAATGAAATTCACCAACTGTACTTTCTGTGAAAGTCATTTAATTGTAATCTTTTATTAATAATTATATAATTGTTCAATTATACAGCTAAGACGAAGAAGACCCCAGCGTTTTTTGCAGTGTCTCGAAAGGTGAATGCAGCTAAAGGAGGACAAACCGTCAGATTTGATCAAGTCAAACTGAATACAGGAGGAAAAGCTATCCCATTTAATCCTAAAACAGGCATTTTTACAGCGACGAGAAAAGGTCTTTACTATTTTTCCGCCATGATATTGGGGAATAGGAGAAATGCAGTACATTATCAACTGAACAAGAATAAGGAAATATATCTTCTAGGTTACTCACACAGAGGAAGAGGTGCAGACTCCAGCACAATTTCTGCCATCATGGAGTTAAAAGTCGGAGATAAAGTATACGTCAGGCATAGAGGTACCAGGAGGGAATATTTTCATGCGAATGGCCACTCGACCTTTACTGGACATTTGATAGGAGATTAAACCAATAAAAACATGGTTTTATAAATAAATAAGCCAATAGAAACATGGTTTTATAGATGAATAAGTCACTAGAAACATGGTTTTATACACGAATAAACAAAATCAAAACATGATTTGATACATGAATTAACCAATAAAAACATCTGGATTTTTTGTTCGCTGCTATTAAACTGAGTTATGATTTATAGGTTTTCTAACGAGTGAGTAATGTATCTTGCTTGATAAAAAATCCAATTATTTGATCTCAGTGTTAAATTAAACGAGCCTTGGCGAGTTTATTATGATAGAAATTAAATATCGAGAGATGATATCAACCAATATCAAAATCTCACTCTGTTGTGGTATCCATATTTACATCACACACTGTTCAGCGTAGTACACAAAAATGTAGATAGCATGCAGGTGACAATTATTATGGGAAATATATTCTGCTTACTATCATTTGAAGTTTGTACATCTGAAGCCTAACAATACTTTTATTGGCTTCTTGTTGCACCCAAAACTTTCACAAAGACATGTATTGCATGTAATAAGTGATAACATAATAAAGCACTAACTGACCCCCAGGGAAACAAAAGGAGCGAAAACATTTACTCTGGAACTCAGAGCTCCAAAGATAATCATATTGCTTGATATAAAAATAAGGAGATGTGGTAAGAAAACTATCCACAAGTGTTCAAATGACGTCGAACTAACTAAGTAATTATAGGTCACCGTACGGCCTTCAACAATGAGAAACACCCATTCTGTATAGTCAACTACATAAGCCCCGACTTTAAAAATGTGAAACCATTCAAACGAGAAAACCAACGGCCTAATTCAGAACAATTCAATTTACGAAAAAAAGAAATATGAGAGACACGAACCAACAACAGCCACTTATTTACAGGTTCCTGACATAGGACAGGCACATACAGATATCGATATAATGAATTTCTTAGAAGGTAAATTATTAGTGGTAATTCAGAATTGCACTTTAGGAAAAACATTCCCCCCCCCCCCCCCCAAAAAAAAAAAAAAAAAACATATAACAATAATTATAGTTTATTTATTTTTTGCGTTGTATGTTCTGAAAAGACAAATTACAGAACATTCATACCAGGAGTTAACATCTCGATATTATGCTGCTTTAATGGCGATCATTTGGGAGGTTTGAGAGAAAGTAAATAGACAAAATTTAAAATTGAAAATGGAAACGGGGAATGTGTCAAAGAGACAACCTGCCATTAGTTGGTTAGTTATATGAAATTTTGACTGTAACCCAGCCTGATATGTGGTATTATCGCCAATTAGACAACTGTTCATTAAAGACCATATGACAGATGTGATTAATTACTGGTCACTATTCGGCCTTCAATAATAAGAATTCTATCATAACGTATAGTATCTTATAAAAGACCTTTACATAAGGTTTAAAAATACCGTTGAGAGTACATAATTATAGGATTAGGATCAACTTATGTTGATCCTGTTCACTCGATGGGGATTCTGATTGAATCAGGATCCAATGCTTACTCGGTCCCAATGACTAAACAAATTGTTAATGTCCATAAATATTGACGTGTGATCTATCGTGGCTAAAAAACAAATCTGTCAAATTCAAAATGGTTTTGAGTTCAATGTAAATATGATAATCTCTCATCAATGATTTTTTTCAGCAGTTTCTTTTGTCTTACTCCTTATGAATTTTTCTTTTGTCTTTCTCCTTATAAATTTCCTTATTTCTTTTGTCTTTCTCCTTATGAATTTCCATACTTTCTCTAATTTTTGTGCTTTTTTGTGAGAAAAATATTTCTCCTCACTAGTGAAATATCTGTTCTCGGCAAATGATTGGTCGAAATTTAATTATGACGTCAAAGTTTCTTGGTTTCTTCTGAATATCCTATTGTGACGTCATGAAAAAAGGCGACCATGCCTGATGACGTCACATATAAAGAACACAACTTTCTGCAAATCTTTGAAAAGGAAGGATAAAAATCATTAGAGAAACATTTTCCACCACTATAACTCGTGTATTACGATATTTCAATCCACCATTTTCTACATAAGAAAATGTCTGTACCAAGTCAGGAATATGACAGTTGTTATCCATTCGTTTGATGTGTTTGAGCTTTTGATTTTGCCATTTGATTAGGGAATTCCTTTTTGAATTTTCCTCGGAGTTCAGTATTTTTGTGATTTTACTTTTTTCTCCACTCTCAACAGTTAAATTTTAATTATTTAAAAAGCTCGACAAGCCTCGCGCTTTAAATATTAAAATTTAAATGTCTCGAGTGGAGAAATATCGTAATACACTTGTTGCAGTGGTGGAATCTATATTTTTTTGTCTTTCTCCTTATGCATTTCCATACTTTCTTTTGTCTTGCTCCTTATGAATTTCCTTATTTCTTTTGTCTTGCTCCTTATGAATTTCTTTATTTCGTTTGTCTTGCTACTTATGAAATTCCTTATAAGTATTCTAAATAATCAATAATCATGATGATGTTTATGCGAAAGCGATGAACAAAAAAACAAAGTAAATTGCCTCCTCAAACGTATGAATTTAATGTTTGTCATTTTTCTGTACTCTCATTGTCCTTCCTCCGTATGTCACTATAAGTTATCTACGTTCATATCCATTTCAACGGATATGAACGTAGATAACGAATTTATCCCCGGTCTTAGTCCAAATCTGGCGATTTTAAGAGAAATTCGACCACAAAAAGTAACGTGAAAGCAACGTTTTTTTAATTATTTAAAAAAGTTTTATTGAAATTGGGGAATTTGGCATATTTGTAACGGGGTGTTTGGTAGAAACCTACAGGTAGTCAAATATAAGACGTTTTTAATCCAGAGACAGAGAAACTGGAATGAGTCAAATTTGGCGCTCAATGTTGTGAGAGTTACGTCATAGACGGTGTGACGTCAACGTGGGTCATTTGCATAGCTAGGTCAGTAGTCTCATTCATTGACAATGTGGCAGACAAGTGATGCATTTACTTAAATGAGTGCAAATGATCGGCATAATAGGATACAATCGTTAGTGGATTAAATATTTAATTACAGACAACATGGATAATCTTCAGAATTCAATATTTCACAAGGAACAACCATGGAACTAAGGAAAATGCGCGTGAAGTTCCCCGGTGTAATGGGTAGCAACGTCCGGGTATATGGGTTAGCAACACCCGGGCTATGGGTTTTGTAACGACGTGCGTTAATCAATCAAAATACTAGAAATATACTAACCCGGGGATAATATTGAAATATTGTAGGCCTTCATAAATTGGTCGTTTAGTTTACAAACATCATAAAAACAAAATTGAAAGTTTACAGAGATACTTGTATTTTATGTAAATCGTTCTCGCGATAGAAATCAAAAACTTCAGGGTGTTTCATTTCCATATCTACGGATATGAACGTAGATAACATATTTATCCCCGATCTTAGTCTGAATCTGGCGGTTTTAAAGGAAATTTGGACACAAAGTGTAACATGAAAGAAACGTTTTTATATTGTTAAAAATTGTAAATTAGACATTTTTTTTACGGAGTGTAGGGTAGGTAGTCAAGTATAAGACGTTTTCAATCTAGAGACAAAGAAACAAGAATAAATCAAATTTGGCGCTCTGTGTCATAGACGGCGTGACGTCAACGTGGGTCATTTGCATATCTAGGTCAGTAATCCCGTTCATAGACCTTACCACTATTTGTCCGCCATTACTGGACATCATAAAGCCGAGTTCCCTTCAAATTTTGACGTCACAATAGAATTGTCTGACGCCACAAAGGAAAAGTGATTGTTCTATGACGTCAATAGTTCAAGTGTCGCAGATATCCAAAAAGCGATAAGGTCTATTGACAATGCGTTAGCCAAGTGATGCATTTACTAAAACGAATGCCAGTGATTGTCATAATAGGATACAATCGTTAGTGGATTACATATTTGATTACAGAAATCATGGATGATCTACAGAATTTAATTTTTCACTAATAACAACAACGGAACTTTAGAAAACGCGCATGAAGTTCCCGGTGTAATGAATAGCTACGCCCGGGTATCGGAAATTAAGGATGTACTTAGGTCAGGTTTAGGAATTTGTGTCAGATGTTCGGACTCCTTGGTTTTTTCCTACGATACAGGGTAAAATATTTTGCCCCGTAACACCCATTTTTCTTTTCATATAAGACTTCAATAGCTCATAAAAGGTCATTTACCAAAATTTAAGCAGATTCAAGATTTCTTTTCTTTCGATTTGAGACCCAAATAATACCAATGTTAATATAAGGTAAAAGTCAGAGTCCGCCTTTTCCCGCCATTTAAAAAAAATAAATATCTCGAAAAGGAGCTCCATAACCTATCAACAGCTTTAGCTTATTTTGTTTCTTAACTAATGCTCTTCCGATTTATAGTATCAATTTTAAATTCTACATTTTTACAACTTCACCTAAGTACATCCTTAAGGGCACCCGATACAGTTTCAAGGGAGTTTTAAACTCTTGGCACGACGTTTAGCGTTCGAATTCGCCAGAAACGTCACTTTCGACGAGACGGCATGGGTGTAATTTTACCGCAATGAAAAAAAAAACCCCACTTTAAAGATATTTAGTATAAACGATGCTCCAATTTATGTTTCTCACACACATAAGCCCTTATGATAAGTGCATTTGATTCTAACATTTTAGGTACTGATATATATACACGGGATAGAAGTCTAGTGAAAACATAAGAAATTAAACACATATTACTGTTCCTCGTCTTGAAGCTTCTTTGAGGTCTTCAACAGTGAAGTCAATAAAGTATCGTACAGTGAGAAATCTCAAGGCGACGGATCCCTTTGGCGTTGCATGCTAATTATCATTTTGTACTGGCATGAAATTACGGATATTGTGTTGTTTAAAATTTACTGTTTTATAATTTTAGAAATCAATTCAAATTAAGGAATATATCTCCCTCATGCAAAGCTCTGATTCCTTGTCCGATTTTGGCTATACTTTAAGTCTTTTGGTTGATCAGCTCTTCAACGTCTGTATTAGGTTTTGGATTTTTTGGCCTCGAGCATCACTGAAGAGACATTAATTGTCGAAATGCGCATCTGGTGCAGTAAAATTTGTACCGTTTATACTTTTATTATCATTAAAATCTCATATCGAAATTTCAGATAGCGCAAAAATCCA